TATACACAGAATTTTATATACATATGCATATGCTTAATTTTGAATTTTATCTTTCAGGGTTTCCAATCATTAATTGACACTTACAAAAGTTTGGAAAATGTGTGCCTTGTTACATTAGCGCCAGAGCTTGCAAATGCTCAGTCTGTAATCTCAGAGTTGTGCCAAAGAAATATTAAAGTATCCCTTGGTAAGATATCATTCAATATTTCACACTTATTTCTATTCGTGATTATATTATTCAAGTTTAAATGTTACAGGACATTCTATCGCAAATTTGCAAGAAGGAGAAGAAGCTGTAAAGAGTGGAGCTTCCTTTATCACTCATCTTTTCAATGCAATGCTACCAGTAATTACATTATATGTATAAAAATATAAAAAAATTGTAAAATAAGGTAAAATAAATAATCAGTTTATCTTTGTAGTTTCATCACAGAGATCCAGGGTTGGTGGGTCTTCTAACATCTGATCAAATCCCTCCTGAAAGAATTGTTCATTACGGTATAATTGCTGATGGGATTCATACGCATCCTGCAGCATTGCGCATCGCTCACAGAACTCATCCCGAAGGTTTGTACATTATATTATACATACAATAAAAATGTTGTAGCATCAATTTTTTAATTAAATCGTGTCGTTCTTTTACAGGGCTCGTTTTAGTGACTGATGCGTTATCTGCATTAGGATTAGAAGAAGGTGTGCATCAATTAGGCCAACTTAGGATCGAAATGCGTATGGGACGTGCATACATTGCTGGAACAGACACATTATGCGGCAGTACAGCAGAAATGTCAAAATGTGTTCGTCATTTCAAGGAAGTGACTGGTAATAATTTATTTTCATTCAGTTCTTTGATTTAATTTTCACTCATTTTATTAAGATCGCATGAACGCATTTAAATTCTACCGTTTTGAAACTATAGTCGAATTATACATTCATTTGTTGAAGGTTGTTCAATAGTGAAAGCTTTGGAGGCTGCAACCCTTCACCCAGCGAGGACTCTCAGTATTGAAAAAACGAAAGGAGTGTTGAACTTCGGAGCCGACGCTGATTTGGTAATGTTAAATAAGAATTTAGAATTGTTATCGACGTGGATATCGGGAGAGTGTGTTTACAGAAAGTGCTATTGCTATTCTGATTGTGAGCACTCTCAATGAGACGCAGCATACCTTTATATGTGATAAGGACTGCACGAGATTATCATTTTTTAACATTCGATTATCGGACTGTGAATTTTATGCATTCATAGAAGACTCGTATCGGTAGAAAATACGAAATATGTACAATAGTATTGAACACATCATAAATGAAATAGGTATTATTACTTTTGAAGCATAAAACAAATTCCTATGTAAATCATAAATATTTTGTTCTGCATAAATATCCGTAGTTAAATTATCAGTCTACACCAAGTATAAAATTTTTAAATATTAATATTTATGCAGGAATCGTTACGAACGCCTTGATCACTGTTCCGTAATTCATTTAATACGTAATGGCTGTGAATATTGTTGTNATGTGCACCGGGTCCTGGGATCTGGGAATGGTCATTGGGCAGCTGATAGCGGCCGCTTATGCTATAAGCGGGACTCTTCACCCTGACTGCATCCGGTTTAATAGCTTCATACGTCCCAGGTCCAGGAACTAAAACTCGATCATCTGTGAAGACCTTCTGTCTACCTGAGATCGAATAAGCGGGTGCTGCTTTCTTGTTTCCTTCCTTAGTTCCACCAAGAGCGGAAGGAATATTATAAACATTTGGAGCTAAAACAGAACACAAAATAAAATATTGAATATTTTATTATGATTAACAATCGCAGTATTGGTACAACGATTATATTAGCACACGGATGCTTTCCATTTAAATACCTATATCAAGAATTTTTGGTCCGTATACGATACTTAATTTTATCAGTTGTTAATTAAACTACATTTTAAAATTAAAGTACTTGTTAGATGTTTGGAGATATTTTTATTACATTTGTAACAGCAGATACTTCCGTAAAACGTGCAGAATTATATTTTATATTGCGATAAGATGGAAATAAACAGCGAATAAGGAAAGCTGATGCGGTTTTATAAATTTTAATATACCTGGGATATTATCGGGCCTGTATATACTCGTCCTAAGACCAAAAGTAAATCGGAATGCTTTTTCTAATAAAAGCATAGCTTTCTCTGGACTGTATTCGCCCGGACCTTCAAATAAAATAACAAATCTACTAGAAAATTGTAAAAAAAACATTGATACATATTGTAAATCTATCATACCTGGTAGGGAACTCGTATCGTGCACAGTAGTCTTAACTCCAAAACTGTATCGGGGTGATTTGTTCAGATTTACCTTCTCAGGATGGTAGCTTCCCGGAGCTGGATTTGTCACAAGTTTGAATAAAACTCATTTAAATATTTATTTGAAAGTTTTCGAATATTGTTTACCTGGTATATCATCGGGTTTCTCAGTTAATGCCTTTACACCGAATGAGTATTGCGGTGATTTATCTAAATTTACTTTTTCTGGAGAATAAGTGCCTGGAGCTATGAAATTAAAAATAAAAAGGTAACAATAATCAATGGAAGCATGGAATCAAAAGTGTGTACATACAGCTATTATGATTTATAACACGGTATTATGACATACACATAATTAAAGAAATAACTTTAGAAATTTTTTATATTATATTCT